AAGAAAATAGATACAAGTAATAGTTCTGAAAAGCAACAATACCTCTGGATGAGTTGCAGAACATTTTCTTTCCCAATAGTTATTGCTTTGTACTGCAGGAGAGTATCCCTCAGCTTTGATGGTCGATGTTGGAGTAGATCTGGGTACATTACAATATTCTTAAAGATGTTATAGCTAGATATTCCATGTTCTACAAAAACTTCACATATACTATTCCACTTCTCTGCTGGGTAGTTCAGGATGTCAGGGGTTTCCACGAGCTGACTGTCAATCGTCTTTGCTTTAATGCCTAAATCTAAAAGCATTTGGTATATAGATTCAATCTGTCCTTCTGAAAACCTGCTGATACCCTTATTCTGTAACTCTCTAGATATGTCTAAGCTCTTTGATTTTACATCTAGGTCACTGTTTGGTATAATCTCAGACACCGAGCAATATCTCAGTTTTCCTGTCCATGGTTCATTATGAAAAATATCAACACATGATAAGAAAGACGGTGCATGAATAGCGTTTCGTGTTGAAATCAGCCGCCACTGCAGAGTTCTCAGAAGTTTAATTGCCATCTGAAATTTGAAAGTCAGACGATAATGAACATAGTAATCACCATCAACAAAACAATATTTCATTCTTATGGTATTATATATTAACTGGTCAATTATATCATGTATATGAAAACAATAAAAAATAATACTGCTATCTAAATAAATTCAATTTTCCTATTGTGTAGATGACAAATGTTATATTTCTTCATTCTATTGATAATCCACATGTATATGAAAATGAACATATACAACACTGTATCCTCTCAAAATTTTTCTACGATCAACCCTTGAATGTACCTGTTTTAATAGAGTTACACTGAACAACTCTCACATTACCTCATAATCACCGCTCCGGCAGTGTGCTCTCAGCTGACAATGTAAACAAACCGGGGGATAACGGCAGTACATATTTTTTGAAAAAAAAAAACAAGAATTTAATTAAATTTCTTAGATTTATAAATGATATTCAAACTTTCGCAAAAAAAAAAAAATGATGAATAGCAGTAACTAAGACGATCAAGAAAACTTACTAATCGTTAGCTCATCTGCCGGCTGATCTTGTCTGATATAAAATATTGAGGTTGTGTCAAACAAATAGTCTGCACATTTTCACTTTTAAGTCATAGGCATCATTTTGGGAGACTAGGGGGATATTAGGCCCCAAGTCTGATTATCAATGAAGGTCCCCACCAATTGCCACACGCCAACGATTTTTTTTTTTTTTTTTCATTCATTACATTTTTATACCTCTGGTCGTAACTTTAAAATTTCCCTGGAGCCCCTCAATTTTCAAACTTTTTTCTCTGGGGGAGAGGGAGAGGGGCCGTCAGCGCCCCAGAAACTCGTTACTTCTCTCGCCAACCCCCCCCCCCCTCCCCGCGCGCAAGAAAAAAATGAAATGACGCCCCTGGCCACTACCCCCAAGGGCTATATCAGTGTTTCTCAAACCTTTTCTGTTACTCCTTGTCCATGGTCCACTGTCAAGCATAAAGGTGCTGTCAGACTAGCACTTTTTTCCGTCATTTTTTTGACATTTTTTAAACATAAATACAAACATTCTCGAATATAACTCTCGATTTGACTATACTTGGCTGAAAAAGTTGACGTTAAGATTTTCAGACGGAAACGATCATTATCGTCTGACTGGAAAATCGACAATTCGTTCAAAAATGGACAAAATTTCAGAAAATTGTCAAAAAGTGCTAGTGTGACAGCACCTTAATTCAAGCCTTGACCTCCCATCCTAACAGATTTGACCTGATCATACCTGAATCTCTCCACATCATTACCATGAACCCAGAACTCAATAGCACAACCACTGAAACCACCCTGTTCACCATGTAATAACCATCAATACTGTCGAATGGTTAGTTTGCCTCTTTTGTATTTACTATTGTTATGTACCTTGTTTTTTTTTCAAATGTTTTTGCATTATATGTTTTCTATTTTTTGTAAGCACTTTCTATAAGAAAAATATTTGTATCTGTTTTAGCACTGAGGATGGAGATTGCATCTCCGAAACGTCTGCAACAATGAAGTTTTTCTCAACAGTATTGGTTTTCCTTTTCCTGATCAGGATAAGATTCCCAAGGGACACCTCTATAACGCATTCTATACGACGACGATATGGCAAGACTACCCTGGACTTGTATAGAAGGATCGAAAACATGGTTAACGGATTTCAACAGGAACAGCGAAGGGAAGGGCAAGAAAACACACTATCCCCGCTCCATGCTCACCCACCGACACAAGGCCGAAAAGATCATGAGCAGACCGAGAGGTGAGGACGCACAAAGTAGAACTGAGGCTAATCATCCCCCACTCGGAATTGGCTGAGCACCTGCAGGCCCTGGTGGGTCCTACTCTCAAGATAACTACGTCTTCAGGCATGAAGATCGGAGACATCGTGAGAGAAAAGAGGTCAAACCACAACAGACCCCTCAGCCAGGTGTACAGCATACCTTGTGGGGGCTGTGATAAGGTATACATAGGCGAGACAGCACGAGGACTGCACGAACAACGAATCAGCCAACACCGCAGCGCTCTCCGACGCCACGATACGAGAAGCGCCTTCGTTGTTCACGCAGACACCGACGGTCACCTCCCGAAGTGGTCCCAGGCCTCCATAATAAAACAAGGCCTGGCTCCACGACAAAGGAAGATGGTAGAAGCGGTGTTCATTCATACAACTAACAACATCAACACCGTTACGGGGAGCCACGAACTAGCCAAGGTCGTCGCTCACCTGATTACCGACGTGACCTGACCACCCAGTATTTGTATATATACTCCTTTATGTACCTCTTGTAGTATATGCCCTGACGAAGCAATAGCGAAAAGGCCTTCGGCATATTCGTGTGTTTTCTTGCCCTTCCCTTCGTTGTTCCTGTTCCAAGGATCGAAAAGAACTCCTTTCGCTCTAAGAAACTGGAAAAAAATTATATATATATATATATATATATATATATATATATATATATATATATATATATATATAATATGTGTGTGTGTGTGTGTGTGTGTGTGTGTATAAATTATATTATATACATTCATATACGTATGTATGATATACATATACATGTTTATATGTACATGTACACAACACACACACGCATATATATATATATATATATATATATATATATATATATATATATATATATATATATATATATATAATATATATATATATAATATATGTATATATATGTATATATATGTATATATATGTATATATATATATACACACACGCATATAATATTATATATATAATATATGTATATATATATGTATATTATGTATATATATATATATATATATATATATATATATATATATATATATATAATATATATTATATATATATATATATATATATATGCGCGTGTGTGTGTGTGTATGTATATATTTATAGGTTGTATTTATTGCCGATACAACAGAAACGTTAGTACATACTTATATCGTCGATAAACTTTTTAATACGATAATTCTTATAACATAGTGGTAGAAAATATATTGCAGAAGTGATTTATCAAAATTTATGGGAATATATATGTAAAACAGTTAATATAAAAGAGCAGAATCGCCTACCTTCCCTATAATGGCGATAAAGATATGAAAACTTTATATAGGCGTACATATAACCTACTTGAATTTATAGCAGGGCAGAATATAAAAAGCGACAACATCACCACATTAAAATCAATGGACAAAATCTTTTTGTATCAATTATGAAAATTTATATAGAATAAAAACAATTATCCCATAAATTTATATAATACTAGTATTAATATCTAAGTCGTTCCAAACAAAATGTATAGACACGTTACCCCTTCACCTTCAACCAAAATAAACAAGATCTTTCGAAAATGTGATGCACGATGGTTCCTGAAATTTGAGTTTATCTATTTAGTTGTTCAGGGATATGATTTTCGTTAGTAAGTACAATGGTTTTCTTTGGCATAACACTAAGAACACACACTGACATATAAAAATGTTTTGTATGCTTGTGAAGTTGTTTATGTAACGTAATTTTATTTTTATTGTTTTGCATGCATGAACGTAAACAACTTTTTCTGAACTTTTATTGTTTTCTTATGAGTAAACTAATACGATTTTAAAATCATTCAATAGTTAAAGTATTTATATATTTAGATAAATAAACGTATTTATAAATGAATCATGAATATGTTTAACGCAAGATTTGTAGTCTAATGTATTGAAATCTTGCTTTTAATTTACACAGCTATTTCATCTCCAAAGTTAACATGTATTTTGAATGCTCATAAGAGATTTTTGACACGCTGGTGTTCAACATGGTATTGTTTGGGGGCCTTTTCTGTTTGAAAGGTGTCTTATGTTGGGTATTCTGTTTTTACTTGAACTCAAACCATATTTATATAGAGGTATTGTTGCTTTTTTATCTTACTCTTAATCCCAGTAATTATTCACAGTAGGACCAAATGAAGAATTCAATGTTCTCAGGACTTCGTGCTCTGTCAAAGGTTAACAAGCCTACAACATATTTATTTTGGCTTTTAGACCCTGATGATTTGCTCTTAACCCACTGGCTGCGGATGGCATCAATGATGCACTGTGCAATTAAAAAGCTGATCCCTTCGAGCAGCGGGCGGCCGCGCGGCATGGGAGCTGTGTGGGCCAGGGAATATCAGCCGCCAAGCCGGCATTCCCCCTTGTGGCCTTACAGGGC